TTTTCCGCACGCTCAGTTACCTCACTCTCAATCAAGGAAATTTTCATGCCTTTCGTCACAAAAATCCCTCAATTTCATCACGACACATGTCTCAATGACTTCCCAATGATCATCGAGATATTCCAAAGGAGAACGTCACACTTCGCAAAAACAAGGACTAAATCCTTGAAGAAATATTACAATAAAACCATCTAAAAGGTGTTTATCGATCGCATAAAACCTCGTAGAGGCCGAGCAAGAGTAACAAGAGTCCGACTGCAGTATGGGCTGTATAAATCGCACAGTATAGAGAGGTGGAAGTACCGTGGGTCAGGTTCAAGGTCCTCCCATGGAACCAATTGCGTAAGATCTCGAACGCGCCTTTCTCCACCATCTTTCAACCATAAAATGCTTAATAATCGCTAATAATAGGGGAAATCACTGTCATTAGTGCCAGGTACTCAAGAAATATTTCTTTCTAATCGAGTCCCTTCGAATCATCATCATTATATTACTTGAATGTTCATTCCGAGGGGTCTGTTCGAATGGGCACACGTCAGCATTACTCAAGCGCTGCGCCAGCTGATTCCGTGTGAATGAGGGAGCATTGTGTACTCGATGTTATCATTCAATTCATAAATTGTGCATGAATGGCGAACAAAAAACATTTAATGACGCGATGTAATTAGAGATATCTGATTTTTGTCAATTTCGTTGAAAATCTGAGAAAATGCCGTCCCAACGCAGTAAGATAAATCTTGTGGGAGTTCTTCAGGCGTTTAAGGCATGTCCTCAGGAGATACGATTTTTTTCCGGATTGTCTCCAGATTTTTGTACTGTCAGACGAAAATGAAATTCCATGGACAGTTGACTACTAATTTTTAGGACAGTGACACTGAACGCGATTTAGGGGAAAATAATCATGAAATTTCAGGTTTCACTGAAAATTCTGTAAAATTTCAGAATTTTAAACAGTATAAAGACGAGAATTCCTTAATTCATTTAAAATTACATTTTAATATGAATATTCAGTGCCAAATTGCATTGAATTTTCAGTGAAATCTGAAATGTCATGATTTTTTCCCCCTAAATCGCATTCAGTGTCACTGTTCTGAAAATTCAAGAACCAGAATATACCAGTATATTTACCAGAATTTTCTGGTTTTTTATTCCTTTTCAGGGAAAAACGGAACAGAAATTTAGTTTTCATTGATTTTTCCACGAAATTCTGAATTTTCGACGAGAAAATTCAGAGAATTTCGGATTCTCCGGAACCTCATTTAATTCTCTGTAATTTTCGAGTAAAATTCCTTAATTTATTTGAAATTCTAATCTAATATGAATATTCAGTGCCAAATTACATTGAATTTTCAGTGAAATCTGAAATTTCATGATTTTTTCCCATTCAGTATCACTGTTCTGAAAATTCAAGAATATATTGACCAGAATTTTCTGGTTTTCTATTCATTTTCAGGGAAAACTGGAACTAAAATTTACAGTTCTCTTTGATTTTTCCACAAAATTCTGAATTTTCGACAAAAAAATTCAGAGAATTTCGGATTCTCCGGAACCTCATTTAATTCTCTGTAATTTTCGAGTAAAATTCCTTAATTTATTTGAAATTCTAATCTAATATGAATATTCAGTGCCAAATTACATTGAATTTTCAGTGAAATCTGAAATTTCATGATTTTTTCCCATTCAGTATCACTGTTCTGAAAATTCAAGAATATATTTACCAGAATTTTCTAGTTTTGTATTCATTTTCAGGGAAAACCGGAACTAAAATTTACAGTTCTCTTTGATTTTTCCACGAAATTCTGAATTTTCAATGACGAAATTCCTAAAAATTTCAGTGGTAATTAAATTCGATAAAAATTTCCGAAAAGTGTCTCGGAAAAAGACAAAAAAATTTAACAATGTGTACTACACAGTTTAGGAGATAATAAATTATGAAATGCGGGCTTCTAATACAGGAGGCACAAGCAGAGTTCCGTGATATTCAACTACAAAAAATTAAAATTATGTTTATACTACTTTAAATAAGCAATTACTTTAAATAAGCTTTAAATAGCAGTGAGACGTTCCTCAATGCGTAGAAAATTGATTCCAATCATGAACTCCTTTTTTTGTTCCGTCAAATTATAATTTCATCACCGGCCCATTTCCCCCGACGAAATGAGCGTTTAATTAACTTTCTACCGATAAAATTATTTTCTAAATAATTTTCTCAAACAAAAAATCAGTTTAATTTGCAAGAGTAAATGGAAATCGCTCTTTAATAGTTCAATTTCCGGTGATTCTATTGAGTGAAAAAATTTTTTTTATCAATTTTCTACCATTTTACTTCAACCAAAAGAAAACATATTCGATTGGAAAAAAAATGTTCGAATTAGCCGAGGAAAATTTAATTTACTGTTGATTTATTCGCGAGGAAAAGATTATAATCGAATAGTAAATTGGTTTTTATTCATGTAACAACCATTAAATCGAGGAAAATATTATTTTCAATGCGGTATCTCGTTTCTCGCGGCCCCGAGAATTTGCGATAGCGTAGGTTGTTGGCATGTATATGTGTATTTATATCCTGACTGGCTCCTGCGAACCGCAGACTCATCTTTACTCCACTGCAGATATCATTTCTCTATCGACCAGACGACACGACGCTAATCCGTCTTGTAAATTTCACAGTGCAAACGTGGAAATGACGGTTGCGTCACGTTGAAAATTATCATTTGATTTGCTGAACCTTCGGTTTTACTAATTTATGGGTTTGCGAGTGATAAGATAGCGGTGGCTATACGTTTTCTTAATTCTTCTGGAAATTCGGAATTAACATGTGAGATAAATTCACGAGGATCGTATTATAGTATTATTTATAATGCTTCGTCAATATTTTTATTCAATTCTTTATGCGGAAAAAGTTTCAGGTATTTATGGCGTGGTCGGAGAGGGTAGAAAATCGTAAATCCATCATTAAGGATACTCGGGCGAGCTGCTTTTTTTACGTATTCTTTAAATGATGGAAAAAGCATGTGCAAAGTTTCAGACTGCTGGGGAGCATGGTTGATTTATTATGAATTTTTGAAAAAGTGGACATTTAACCCGTGATCTTATGGAAATCACAAAAAAAACTACAAAACCCAAGGAAAAAAATGCAGCCAAAGCCATGAAACTTTAGACACATTTAGAACATGTGATCAATGATTTTTTGAATGAAAAAGATTGTCGCCTAGGAGCATTGTTTATTAATAATAGCGGAAAAAAAGTACTGAAAAATGAAATTTCTGCGCGCGCAGCCCAAACGAGCAGCAACGTCACAAGTACCGATCGGGTGGGGGTAGCGCGGTCAATTTAAACATCTCTTGAGAGAGAGCAATGAAGCGTTGTGATTGGAGCTCCCTCGAGCCAGTGGTACCAGCTGCTGGTGAAAAAAAAACTACCGACAATGTTGCCACTTTTTTGCCTGGATTAATATTTTTTTCATTTATTAAAAATAAAACAATCTGAAAACCATTCAATGCGTGGAACAGATACAAATAAATTTGATTAGCTCAAAAAATAATTTTTAACCGGAGATACTTCCTAATATTTCCTGAATTTTGAATCCGAATGGGAAATTTTTTTGTTCAGCGATTGGTTTTCTGCAGGAAAACAGTAGAAACCCCTCCGCCTCACCTCCTACATTTCCTCCTCGCCCGATAATCCTTAAATTATAAAATACGCATAGATCGGCATTAATCATTACTTTAGTAATATTATGAGAAGTTGCAGCTTACAATAATGAAATTTTATTTCATCTTCATTGAAATTTGAAAAATAATATAATAATTCAATAGCGAAGCGGTAAACGGGGTTAAGTCGATTTTGACTATTGACCAGTTTTCAATGAATATCTCGGAATCTAAGGGAGATAGCAAAATTTTTGTTATAACCTTTTTTGTAGAGCCGATTGAGAGCTACAACAAATGTCATTACGAAAATTTCGCTATCTTCCTTAGATTCGGAAACATTCCTCAAAAACTCAACTGGAAGATGAGTCGACTTAAACCGTTTTACCACTTCGCTACGGAAATAAATACTTTTTCATCACGCTGTGATGAAAAGTGAACTTTTCGGCACGCTCCGCGTGCCTAAAAGTCCAATTTCCGCCACATTGTGATGAAAAATATTGTTCGTAACTCGTGAAAAAATGTTTTTTGCACTCGCTACGAAATATACTATTTCATCACGCTGTGCGAAAAAGTAACTTTTTACGGAACGTCCCTTTTCCACACATTGTGATGAAAAATAACGTTTGATACTCGTGGGAAAAGTGTTGTTTGGCTCGTGGGAGGTTTATAGCACGAGCCGAAGACGAAAAGAGAAAAAACTCTTTTCCGCACACGAGTGCGGAAAAGCATATTTCCAGTGCGGAATAGTATATTTCGTTACGAAACGAAATATACTATTTCACTCTTCATGTGAATGGTAAATTTTCCCGTGGAGCGTGTGAATAGACACCGCCAGAAACACGATAGGTCGGCGCGTGCGTCCTATCTGTTTCATTCATGAAATGAACTCAAAGTCACCATCGAAATAAAAAAAAACAACCTCACACCCTCTAATCCCCAACATGAATTATCAATTCCATGCTGAATCCTATCTCAAATAGACCCAAAACACCCCCCATAAACCGTTCACAAACACTCTCCCCCCATAAACCGTAATTATGACCGCAGTGTCAAAAAATAAGCCCAATAACAGGCGTTAAATGCGCAGAACCCGTCTCCTGAATACCAACGACTCTCTTTATCTACAAACCGAAAACAACGCGGGTCTCCAGAGCCGATTGAAAGGCAAAAAAACTCCGTCGTAGACACAGCCCCGCCGGAAGAAGCCAAAACAGCACAAGTTATTTTCTCCGTCGCAGTTATTTCCCTCTCGCTCACTCTCATTCATCCCTATTTCTCTTTTTCCATCCGCCCTAACTCAATTCCACAAACCACACGACCATGAAGACCATGAAAGTCGTCTCTTACCTCACAGAGTAGGACCTTGCCGGTTTGGAGGTCATTGCACTGGTGATGCAGTTGAGCTCCGGGAAAATCGATTCTACTGGCCACCCCCTATTGTTACGTCCTTATTATCTCTCACTCACTTTTTGTCTTTATTCCACACTTGGGATAAAGTTGATGAAGCACTTTCAATAACTTTTTTTATAAATCAATTGTTGTAATTAATTGTTATTCAATTTTCATCATCGAAATAATTTTTGTTTTCACCTGTACATGATTTTCTTATGAGCTGTTGTCAACTTTTTTCATTGAAGTGTTTAGGAAGAACTGAATTCAGTAGTGAAGTGGTAAACGGAGATAAGTCGACTGATTTCACAATTGAGTTTTTGAGGAATATTTCCGAATCTAAGGGAGATAGCGAAATTTTCGTAATCACATTTGTTGTAGCACTCAATCAGCTCCACAAAAAAGGTTATGACAAAAATTTTGCTATCTCCCTTAGATTTCGAGATATTGATTGAAAACTGATCAATAGTCCAAATTGACTCATCTCCTTTTACCACTTCGCTACTGAATTGAATTTTTTTTAATTGTTAACGAAATTTATTCCAAGAAAAATACCCGAGAAAAAACCATTTTCTTACAATTGGCCATCGCCCGAGGGCCTTCAGCCAGTTTTTCGTTTTATTTTTTTATCGATTGATAATAATTTTTTTGAAATTGGAGAATAATTAACGTCTGGACTCCAAGGGAAGAAGTTATTGTAATGACTTGTTATTGTATTGAAAAAAAATTATGAATTCTTCTTTCAAATATTTTTTCAATATCATTTCCAACGAAATGAATTGGCATCAATGAATAATCATTTTTTTAATGAAAAAAATTGACCTCCTGACATGCAACAATTAAAAATCCTCACTTCTTACTTCTTCAAACCCTTGCACTCAGCTTTCCCCACGAAATTATTAATTATGGGTCAAAATTGACGTATTGTGCGTGCTTCCCTCGTTGAGGGTAGACGGAAGCCTCGTGGACACTCGACACCGGCATAACTCACGGTCGTGTCGAGCCATTGGCGACTGCTCTCAAGATCGAGGTCGTCCCCGCATATAAACAATCAGCAGTGACCACTACTCTCCCTTCACAAATCACAAACAAATACAATCACCAGAAGCACTAGAAGCACTGGAAATTCACGTCAGTTCCTCGGGAATATTTTGACAGCAGTCGACCGCAATTCGAATTCATCGATTAAGGGGGGACTACTGTGAGTTTTAAAAATCGCGGGCTAGAGTGAGTTTTCGCATGCATTGAAGATCGATTATATATGTCTAAAAACGAATAGGGGAGGATAGGGTAAAATGAACACTTTTGACTTTTTTAAAAATATTCATAACTCAGAAACAGATTTATCAATTGCGCTCAGTCTAAGCTCATTACAAAGAGGAATCATTGTTCTTTCTATTGAAAAATAAAATTATTCCATTTCATGAACAATTCAACAAGCCATGAACATTTCAAAAAAAGTCAGAAGTGTCCATTTTACCCCACTCTCCCGTAATTGACGCAAAAAAATTTATTGTTCATTGCTCGTTTGCAGAGGTTTTACAATGACAATTACGAATTCGTTTGTTGAAATTCAACTCCTACATATATCTAATTTACATTTGGTTAATATAAAAGTTTGCGCCATTCATGGAAAATAAGCAGAAAAAATTGCCCTTAAAATATTAAAAATATATTCTCGATTCTTTCAGAAATATTTTTCGGGCTATTTTACATGAATGGTGCAATTGTTTATTTAAAAAAACGAAATTGGCTGTGCAAGAGTTGAATTTCAACGAATTAATTCGTAAATTGTTATTGTACACATTTTTTCAAAAATTTTAAAACAATGAACACTTACGAATTAGTTTGAAATTCGACTCCTACACAGATCATTTCGTTTTGTTTAATATAAAAATTTGCGCCATTCATGTAAAATAGGCAGGAAAATTATCCTTAAATTATTAAAAATATATTGTTGATTCCTGCAGAAAGATTTTTCGGACAATTTTACGTGAATGGCGCAATTTTTTATTCAAAAAAATTAGATTAGCTGTGTAGGAGTTGAATTTTAAAAAACCCGTAATTGTGATTACACATTTTTTCAAAAATTTGGAAAAAATGTGTACAATGACAATTACAAATTAGTTTTCTGAAATTCGATTCTAACACAGCTAATTTCGTTTTGTTTAATATAAAAATTCGCACCACTCGTGTGAAATAGGCAGAACAATTATCCTTAAATTATTAAAAATATATTCTCGATTCGTTCAGAAAGATTTTTCGGGCTATTTTACATAAATCGTGCAATTTTTTATAAATAAAATGAGATCAGCTGTGTAGAAGTTGAATTTCAAAAAAATAATTCAGTAGCGAAGTGGTAAAACGGTTTAAGGATGTTTAGCCATTTTCAGAAAAAAAAATTTCTTCAGGTTCAAGGAAAATTCTATAATTTTTTTGGCTGATAGCAGAACATATGAAACTAACTTCTTTGATGTTAAAAAAAATTAATCGCAATAGTCTCGCCAGAAATGAATAAACAAATTTTTATTTATACACTGGCTCTTATGGGATTTATATAGAAATTTATAATTTACCTACTAGGAGACTCTAAAAATAGAAATAAAAAAAGAAGGTAATGTGCAAAACTATACTGAATCGAATGGCCAGAGAAAAATTCGGGGTACCTACCCGGGCAAAAACAGTAAATATTTGAAAGGTTCTGTCCCATATAAGCACATGTTAGCGCATGCGTTTGGTGCATTTTGTCCACTTCATTTCTAAATAATAAAGGTGGGTTGGTGGACTGAAATTTTTCTCAAGATAAAGGGAATAACTTCATCTCTCAGTTGAAAAAAAATCAATTTTTTTTAATACTTGTGATTTTGGATAAACATCCTTAAGTCGACTCATCTCCCAGTTGAGTTTTTGAGGAATATTTCGGAATCTAAGGGAGATAGCGAAATTTTCATAATTACATTTGTTGTAGGACTTAATCGGCTCTATAAAAAAGGTTATAACAAAAATTTGGCTATCTCCCTTAGATTCCGAAATATTCATTGAAAACTGGTCAATAGTTAAAATTGACTTGTTGACTGCGGAGCAAACGAACAATAAACAATTGATTTTTTTGCACTAATTATTCCTATTTATTTAGACACACATAATCGATCCTCAATGTATGTATGCTACGTTTAAAACTCATAGTGGTCTCCCTCAAAATATTCCGTAGGTATTTTTCGACTTTTTGAATTCGTTTTTTTCTCACTCAGGAATGTCTACTCACACCTTCGGGATGATGTAAACAACAGTTCTAATCGTTTGTCGGTGATTACAGGTGTCACGATAACCCACCGGCCAGTATTGTTATGTACTCAGTTGTGAGGTAATGTCAGAAAATATTTTTTCTGCTCTAGGGTAAATGGAAAAAATTGAATCGCCGATTCATCCAATTGCTAAATTGTTTTTAGGATTTTTCAGTTGAAAAAAATTCATTTGCCATTTCCTCGTTGCATTTGAGCCATGAAAAATGCATCTAATATCGGAAAATCAAGTAAATATGTTTTGTTTCTGGAGCAGGAGACGATTATCTACATCATTTAAGCCCCAATTTTTTTACAACATTTCAATTTATTTTTTGATGAGAAGAAACGATTTTTCAAACATCTTTCAGGTGAAATTGATTTGAGAGTGCACTTGACCCTCGAGAACTGCATAAAAACCTTCCATTAATCAAATAAATTCATCAGTCAATTCCACCGAATATTTTCAACACTTCTCTCGCGCTAAAATCACTTGTGAAAATGTTTATTTACTCATCACTCCGAATGTTTGACGACAATCGATCGAATTCGCTTGATAGGCGTTTGAAGCACCTCTGATTGATCTTTCCATTCAACGATTTCTATTTTTCACTCGTGAAAATCGATTATGCGCGAGTTTAAAGGACTTGAAGGGAACTTGTCCTGCACAGACGATATCCGGGGAACGAGTGAACCAAGTCGAGACGTGGGAGACTGACGAAGGCGAGTGCTGAGTCCACGAGTTTCAAGTCGAGGGAGTGGTGGCTCGATTCTCTCGTATGCTTTATAGAGGGGGGCCGAGTGCGTCGGGCGGG